TCTGCCGGTATCTGTCCAGCAGCTTGGAGCGGCTGTTCTTCAGCCTGTCCACACACCGCTTTTAAAAACACCACAGAGAAAAACAGTCAAACAATTACAAAACATTCACCCAAACAGCATGTCAACATGCTAACGAGTTATGCTAACTGAAGCTAATGTTAAGAATTTGCTGCAAACCTTTCGGTAAGTTTCCTTCCATGGCGGAGTGGTTCCTTTGTAGAGCGAACGGTGTCTGTGCAGCGCGTCCATTAACAGCTTTATTAGAGATCACACATCTACATTTTAAGTACGCTGACTTAAAAAACAAACATTTCAGCTTGTTAACCACCTTTCCCGGAAGTAAATGTGCACTACCGCAAAAGACATGATGGGTTATGTAGTTCTTTCCAGTCTAACACAAACTGCTTGCCGGAAGACGTAAGGAAGTGTGCGCTCTCACTGGCGCTTTTCAGCCAATCACATGGCAGCATCTCAATTAAACCTCTAAACATGGTGAAGACGACAAGCCTATGTCCTAACACAGCTTTGTAGGAGAAAAAACAGAGGACTTAATTGACTTTGAACGTAGTATGGTTGTTATCTGAGTATTTCAGATAATGCTAATCTACTGGGATTTTCACACCATCTCCCAGGTTGACAAACAATGGTATAAAAACAGTAAGCCGCGTTGGAAATGGCAGTCAGTGGAGAATGAGGAGGATGATTTGACTTGACAGATGGGCAGTAACACTTGTTTTAACTACGTTACACCAAGACTTTGTAAAAAGTCGATTTTGTATGGTATAACATGTCGTGTCAGGAAGTTTACAGGCTGAGTGATTGCCTACTGAGCATTATTTAAACACTACAGTCTACCTTGATATTGTAGCTGTCCGTATACATTCTTTGATGAGCAGAGTTTACCTTTGCTTTGCCTATTTCCAGCAGGGTAATGCACCGTGTCTGGAAACAAAATAAGAAAAATGCTATATTCTGGTCATCAGAAAAACAATTTCTAAACAGGCAAATCTTTCTGAACGCTTTCATTTTAAAGTGAAAACAAAGAGAAACAAAATACCAGCAACACAGTGAACATATTATGGGATTAGGCATGTACGTGGTCTGCAGGTTGATTCTGGTTTCAAAACAACTTATTTGTTCTATTGTTCCTATGGTGTAAATTCTTTATATGACATATCAGAGAAAGTGCCAAAGTAACCAACGTATTTTCCACCTATATGTTAATTCAGCAGCCCTGCCCATCATCCACCTTTTGCTGTGCAATGCCGATCAGCTGTGTCACTTTTCCCTTGCCTTTAGGAAAGACAAGGTTGTGTGACTCTATAAGGAGCAGAGAAACAAGGAGGGATAATATTATGTGCAATAATCACTTCAAACTGCTAAATTTAGTGTGTATTGTTCTGTATTTCTGCCTAAATCTATGTGTTAAAATATTATATTATGTCATGAGCGTTTCATACCAGCCCATGCTTACTCACCATAATGTCAGGATTTAAAATCTTTTCCCACACTGAATCAGTTATTCTAATCAGTGCTAAAAGAAATCTGCATCATAGCCAACACGCATGATCCCTTTTGTATCTCTAGGAGTGGGAACAAATAATAGCTGAATCCAGTTACAAAAAGTTAGGTTTTTGAGACACGCTTGTTTTTGTCTATGCCGATGACTCCGAGAAGAGGAATCTGCAAAGTTAGAGAAAAATCCAATGAAGGTTTGCTCAAAGTTACTGCAGAGCAAGCTGTACCTGTTATCCAATGTTCCACAGTGCTTAGCCGAAGGTTACATATAAGTTAGAAGTAACTTCTCTGAACAAGAACATTTAGTGGATGAAAAAACATGAAGGTTACTTGAACGTTCTCCAAATAGCCTTTCGTCCCCTAATTTGAACGCTGCTACAATGTTAAAAAAACGTTAAAATATTCCCTGAAGCTCATTTACAAACCTTTGATTAACTCAGTGTTGTTCAAAGTCTGTCTTCAAGGGCTGCAGCCCTGCATATTTTAGAGTTTTCCCAGGTTCAACACACCTGAATCCAATGGTTCTGCTTCTTTACCAGACCTTTGGACAACTTCTGATTTGCTTGGCATTAACTGAGCCTTTAAATTCAGATCTGTTGAAATAGGGGTCAATCTAAAACATGCAGGATATTAGCCCTTGTGGACTGGAATCAGACGCCCTAGTGTAAACCTTTAGTGAACATTTACAAACATTTTCAAATTATTCTCCGAACATTTTCTTGTTTGCTGGAGAAGCCACATTTCCAGTCAGAATGGGCATGAATGTTATATTAATTAGGAATTTTTAACAATTTAATGGAACTTTTTGTTTTTTTTTTTCCAAATCAAACAACACAACAACATTTCAAAAAACGCAACATTAACTAAACACAACAACAAAATAAGCTAAAGTTTGAAATTTTTGATCATAAAAAAGCTTTACTGAGTGAATAATGGTGGTTTCATGATTGTGTTTAGTAACTTGTTGATGTGGTTTGCGCTTCAGGGCCACACACATTTTTGACAAAACAATACCATCTATCTATCTATCTATCTATCTATCTATCTATCTATCTATCTATCTATCTATCTATCTATCTATCTATCTATCTATCTATCTATCTATCTATCTATCTATCTATCTATCTATCTATCTATCTATCTATCTAATTCTGTCTGTCTGTCTGTCTGTCTGTCTGTCATGTAGGTGAACATTATTTCAGTTTACAGCAGAAACATTTATTTTGTAGGTATTCAGTTGACGAGTGCAAACAGACGTCGTGCTCAACTTAACTCAGTCTTGGTGGTTTGCCTTAAAGTGCTGCCTGCTGGCATGGTATCAAATTCCCAGACTGGATTATTGTTCCAGTCCGCCCCTGGTCTGGGCAGAGAAAATTATTTTAGGATAAAACAATCTAAATATTGCTTATTTCACTGTGTTTTGCTTTGTTTGTGGTGGTAAAAGCTAAACTTTGAGTGGTGGCAGGCTACCTAGCCTTGATGCTAAAAATCTGTTTGAGATGTGTTTTTAAGGTTGAGACAAACTTAATTTAAAGAGTGGTTGAAACAGTAAAGGTTATATAACCTGAGTGTGCTCCGTTTTATCTGTGTTTTCCCTTCATTTCCTCTCACTAACCTATACTGAATATGTACGAATATTCTTTAATATAGCAAAGTTTAAAGCTGAAATGGCTAACTGCTAATGCAACAGGTAGCCATTATTGGCTTCGCTATGTTTACAACACAGCTTATTTGTTCATTGTCCAGTCATTCCTTAACGTGCCACTGGCCTCATATTCACATTAATATTTGTATTCATAATATTGCTTGTTGCTAGACAAACTATTTGCTTTGTGTTAGCCTAACTGCTAGACCCAGTTGTGACGCCACCATGGCTGCCGTCAGTGCGGTCAAATTTCTATCTGTTCGTCCGCCATCTTGTGAATGTCATCTTCTTTAAAATTCCCATCACTCCCTTTGATGGCTGGTTAACAACTATTAAGAATCAATTATCCAAAAGGTTAGTGAATTCTAATTCTAAACCTTAGTTCTTAACAAACATATATGTTATATGCTCTCTTTGTGCTTTTAGTTTTCAGTATTTTTTTTATCATGTAATGTGTTGAGATTTCCTTGAATATAAAGTGCATTACAAATAAAATTTATTATTATTATATCCACACTCAACTGTAATATCATTGCATTATTTTACTGGTTATAGTTTCATTATTTTCTCCTTTTTTAAGTTTATTAGTTTTCTTTATCCTAATTATTTCTGCTTAGTGGTTGAGGTCTTACTAGCCTAGTTAAAGAGATTGTTAATTGAAATATTTTAACTTGGAGATGTTTTTTAAAAAAAATAAATTCTTATAGTTTGGAGATTAGTTGTGTGTTTATTGAGTGCAGGACCTGCTGTTCCACAATGCCATAGCTCAAATTACTTCTTTCATCTATTGTTCTATAAGACCACGCCGCTTTGGGCTGGTGTTAATAGGACAATACCTGACAGACTGAAAATTGTTTGGCCAAAATTAAATTTGTGTCATTGCACAACACTGTCAACTTTGTGCATTGCACCTATACCACTGACAGCATTAAAGACCCATAGTATGCTATGGTAGGCCACCATGCTTGCCATCTTGTACAATGTTCTTACTGTATGAATGAAATGTCTGTTTGACTCCTTCAAACACATCTTGTCATTTTGGCCAAATAACTCAATCTTTGTCTGACAAAAAAGCTTATAACTAGAAGGCATTTGGCTTGTTTACGTGGGCAGCTGCAAGTTACAGTCAGACTTGAAGGAGCTAATATTAGAGGACTGACTTCTTTCTTTGTTGTTTCCCTCTCAGTCCGATCTAAAACGTACTTCTTGGTGGACAGTGACCCTCTATTCCAGCAGTTTTTCATTCATACCAGGTTTCAACCTTACTGTTTCAGAGGTTGTTTCTGAAAAACCTTTGCATCTGAGGAGGAAAGACTGGGTTTTCTGCCAGATGTTGGCCAAGAGACGAAAAATTTGAAAAACTTTTACTTACAATCATGCATAGAAATCCTTTTTTTTATAGAAAAGAGAAAATATCAGCTTATTCAATGAGGAATGGCAACAGGATGCTAATCCGTCCTAGGCAGAGGATTTCCAAGCAACAGCTTATTTTGCTTCAGACTCAGGCTGGATCTGTCAAGGGATTCCTACATTAACAAAACTGAAGAATCTGAATAAAAGAATGTAAAGTGTTTGTTTTGAAGAGAGGGAGGGGAAAAGGCTGAAATAAACGTAAGATAAAAACACACAAAGAAACCAGTGTCAATGATATCTTTGAAAAACCTTAATTGAGTGCTGATTGCAGTGGTTCTGGTGTTTGAGCTTACACAGGTAAGGCAAGAAATCCTCCCAGTACTTACAAGCACAATGAAACTGTCCTAAACTGCAAATAAGTTTAGTGTTTGTCACACATTCATGCATACTGTATGCAAAGGCACCTTAAAAGCAACAGAGATATGTCAGGATGGCTGAGCGGTCTAAGGCGCTGCAGTCAGGTTGCTGTCTGCCCTTGAGGTGAGGGTTCGAATCCTTCTGACAGAAATTACTGTATTTAAGTGGAAGTGAAATATTTTAATAGAGGCATACTACGCTTTAACAGATCATTATGAAATACAATTGGAAAGCCTTTAAAGGCAGCACAAGAGACCCGCCAGCTCTGCCAACAAAATCCTTCGTAGACATTTCAGGGATGTTGGTGCTTGTAATAAAAAGTTTACGTGTACTTGAGCTTATATGCTTACACAAAGGCTATAGTACCTCAACAAACCCGGATTAGCACACTTTCTTTGAAAATGAATGACACACTCCTCTTTATCCAGGTGTTCAGGTCATAGTCTCCTTTAGAGGCTTAGGTTTGAATCCCACTTCTGACAACTTCCCATTGTTTTCCGGTACATGCTGTATGATCAGAGTTGGCATTTCAGCGCTTTCCATTATCTCTGTCGTCAGAAATTAAGGCAGTTGAGGAAGAGGATTAATAGTCAGCTCAACCAAAAAACATTTGCAAAGCGTGTGACTGCAATCAGCCATCAGCATTCTGGCATGAGGCTGTCTTGACATCTTCTGGCGGATTTAAGAGCCACAATGTGTTTAGTGAGGCTTATTTATAAAAATCCACTGAGGTGCTTCTCAGCATCTGGCTTCCCCCGCCTTAGCAGCTTCAGCACCTCGGACAGGGAACATCTCTATAGGCTTGCAATCCAGCGGGGGGGGCATTGACTGCAGCGACGCGACTGTGCAGCAGTATCAGCAGCATCCAGGAAGCAGCCAATCAGAGACCGCCGCTTCCCGTTCCACATCCAACCCGAATAACTGCAGATGCCCGCATCCAAGCAACGACTCAATGTCTTTGCTTCCACCTCTCTCTCTCTCTGGCAGGTGCACTAAGATAATATCTGCCCTTTATTTTTGGATTTCGTCGAACCCCCTTTACCTCTTCCCTTTTCAGCTTTTGTTTTGATTTAGGTTTCCAAATCCAAACCTGTTGTCTCGTTTCTGTTTGATAAAGGTCCGTCCTGCTCTTAGGCAACAGCCTCAACCGACCAGATTACCACTTCTTAATGGAAGACATTTTCTCTCTCGCTCCGAGGCGCTTTTTTGCATCTATTTTGGGTCCGTATTTCCATCGACGAAGGAGGGACCCTCAGTGAATGAAACGGGGGAAGAAAGCGCGTCAGGCTCTGTTTATATAGGTTATCAGCGGGAACGGAAGCCGCTTTAACCGCTTCTGGTGCCACGGTGGATGCCGATAGTGGGTAGGTTTTTATTATTCTGAATCAGCGATCCTTCAAGAAGGAAAGTCGATACATGGATACATGGATCCCAGAAGAAGAGTGGATTAATTAAAAGGTAGGAAAACACAGAGATGTATGTTTTTTTTCTCATACAAGACAGTCCAACAAGAGGGCTAATGAACAGGCACGTAGTGGTTCAGTATAAGCTGGCGTAATCATTCTGATTAATTGCATAAAAAAAAACAGAACACAAATCATCTTATTGTTATTTAATATGTTTGTATACCATGGGTTGGAGCAGACGCAGAGCGGGTGCTGATGTCTGGTAGTGGGGGTGGATTCAAGGCTTCCATTTTGAAGCTAAGATGGATGCCTGCGCACATTTCTGTTTTACTGCCTTTGCATGTGGCCTTTTCTTGATTCTTATATAATGCCAATGGTCACCAGCTGCCTGTGTCATGGCAACAAAAAGGGCAATACGCCTCCAACCACAGTGGCTTGTCGACATGACCTGTGCAATGACTTGTGTATTTTCATTATTTATCACTCTAACATCTAGGCCTCCATTGCACAACATTTTCATTAACAGTAATGTGCTAATGTAGATTACATTATTGAAACACGGTACTGGAAAAATCTGATTAAACACCCTTCTTAATATACAATTGCAGTTTTCTGCAGTCAAAAACACTGTTATATCGGGTGCCTTGCGAAGGTGTTCACACCCCTTGAATTTTTGGTCACATTACAACTGCAAACCTTGATGTATTTTATTGCAAATTTATGTGAAAGACCATTTTTAAGCGGAAGAAAAAAATTGTAGATGGTTATCAAAAAATTTTAGATGGTTATCAAATAGTCAGTCATTTTCTACCGCTGCTTCCATAGTGGGTCGCAGGGAAGCTGGTGCCTATCTCCAGCAGTCTATCGGCGAGAGGCGGGGTACACCCTGGACAGGTTGCCATTCCATCGCAGGGATATCAAACATTTTATAAATAAATGAAAATCTTAAACTGTGGCATGCATTTGTATTCAGTGAATGGTTTGTTGAACAACCTTTTGGCATTGCAGTTACCGTAGCAAGTATTGTATGTTTAGGGTGGTTTTCTTGCTGAAAGGTAAAGCTCCCCAGTCTCAAGTCTTTTGCTGCCTCTAATAGGTTTCCTTTCAATATTGCCCTATATGTAGTCCTACCCATCTTCCCATTAACTCTGACCAGTTTTCCTGCCCTGCTGAAAAAATTATAAACACACTATGATGCTGCCACCACCATGTTTCAAATTGTGGATGGTTTGTTCAGAGTGCTGCACAGTGTTTGCTTTGCCACAAGTAATGTTTTGTATGTAGGCGAAAAAGTTGTGCTGTGTCTCCTACATGTTCTGTGGCAAACTATATACAGTACTTCCTAAGGTTTAAGTTTTTTTTTGGTAAGGTAACTAATTGCTCTGGATTTTATATAGGGCTTTCAGAGTAAAGGAAGCTGTATACAAATGCATGCCCCATTTTCTTTCACTTGTGAACATTTTAAAACCTTGTTTCAATTTTCTTCTATAACAGTTAGACGCTTTGTGATGGTTCAGGAGAAAAATGGCCATATCATACAACCATAGATACAACAGACTGGTTTCGATCAAAGCGTATTCAGATGTTACATCTGAATAAAATCTAGAGCTAAATCCAATTGAAGATCTGTGGAAAGACTTTTATTTTGCTGTTTACAGTTGTTTTTCATCCAATCAGACTGAGCTTGAGCTATTTAGTGAAGAAGAATGGGCAAACATTTAGACATGCAAAGCACAGAGACAAACACCAAAGGATTTACAGCTGTAACTGCAGCAAAAGGTGGTCGTACAATGTGTTGACTCGTGATAGACCTACATAAAGTCCCAATAAAATAAACTAATGTCCTTGTTTGTGATGTGGCAAAATGTCAAAACATTCAAGGGACATGAATGCTTTTGCAAGGCATTTTGCCTATTATAGTAGTCCCTGTTTCTGTGTTTTTTGACTTGGTTTTATGCCAGAACGTCCTCTTTTTTCAAGACAATAAGACAATAAGTTATCAGAAAAGGTTCCCAAAAATCTTCCAGGAAATGTCTAAATACTCAAATGCGAGGGTTTATCCTTAACTGTTGAGATTATAGTCACTACTGTGTACCAGGCTTTTTAGTGCCATCAGGAGACAGTGTCACAAGAAAAGAATGTTACTACATTCAATTCAATTTAGTTTGTTTATATAGTGCCAAATCACAAAACATGCCTTCTCAAAGCACTTTACAAAAAAGTCAATTCAGTCAAATTATACAGATTCCAAATCAAGTAGATCCATTCTAATTAACCCTAGTTAACAACGAATGCAGTCAAGTTTATTTTTGAATTTGGTTGAAAATGTTTCTCTTTAAGGAAGCCCAGCAGATTGAATCGAGTCAGTGAAGAAACCTCCAGTAGAACTAGACTCATCTGCTGGGGGGTCTGAGAAGACAAAGCACACACACACACTAAAACACAGATGATACAGGAATACGTTCTATGATAAAGAATAGTAAAAAGTTAATGGCAATAGTAGTTCCTTTAGTGGCTTCATATAGGACAGAAAGGTAGCTTAAGCAGATAAGCCCTGAGCCAGTTTTCATATCTATAGGATAAAAAAGAGCACATACAGTTAGTTGCAGTAGAAGCTCAGCCAATAGCTGTCAAGGAGAGACAGGGCTAAACACTAAAAGACAGGGCCAAGTGTATCATCTATAGAAGGAGAACATCAACTTGCTAGCAGCAGTACCTCATCCGATGCCCCCCTCCAGGAAGGTGTCACAGCTAAACAGAAAGCCAGGCGAGATGAAGCTTCTCTGAAGAGAAAAAACTGAGAGAGAACATAAAGTTAAAAGCTGAAATAATGGCAAATAATGCAAAAGTTGGGAATTTTATAATTCATTCTGAATTTAACAGGAAGCCAGTTAAGGGAAGCTAAAATGGGAGAAATGTGATCTCTTGTTTTCATTTTCATCAGAACTCTTGCTGCAGCATTTTGGATCAGCTAAGGCTTTTAACTGCATTTGTGGACTTCATGTTAAAACAAGAAACAGAAGTGTTTTTAGTGCTTTGCAGTTTAAAGTAGGATAACTAAGGGTTAGATATTCAAAAGAACTGCAGCGAAGTCTGACTGAAAGATGGTTTCTAATCCTCCTACTTTTCCACTGTTTCAAGGAATGTGAAAATAAGAATAATTACAAGGAGTTAACTAATTTCTACTTATTTTGGCTTTTCCCTTTCAAGGGTCGCCACAGTGAGTCATCTGTCTCCATTTAACCCTATCTTCCACATCTTCTTCTCTCACACCAACTACCTTCATGTCCTCTTTCGGTTCATCCATAAATCTTCTCTGTGGTCTTCCTTTAGACCTCCTGCCTGGCAGCTCCAGCCTCAGCATCCTTCTACCGATGTACACACTATCCCTCCTCTTTACATGTCCAAACATCCAGCTCTGCTTGCTGTTTCCTCCTCAGTGCCACTGTCTCATACAACATCACTTGTCTCACCACCTTTTTGAACACCTTTCCTTACATTTCCGCCGATACTCTTTTATCACACAACATACTTGACACTATTCTCCTTTCGTCCCAACCTGCTTGGACACATTTCTTCATCTCTTTTCCACACTCACACTTGCTCTGGACTGTTGACCCTAAGTTGCTAAAATCCTCCATCTTCTTTCTCTCTGTTCCCTTTAACCTCACAGCTCCACTTGGGTCCCTCTCATTCACACACACGTATTCTGTCTCGCTCCGGCTAACTGTCATTCATCTA